CTAATGAATTACATTACCCATGAGCTGCTCATGTGCTTGCCTCTTGAACCATTTTAATTATATTATTATTATTTATTTTACCTAACCTGTATTTTTAGATTTTAGTTACTTTTACAATAATATATAACAAATAAATATGAAAAACAAGAAATAAAGTACATACCTTTTTTTTTCTTGCTGTCAGGTTTTGAAGAGAGTTAACCCTAATTTTCTATATTATAGATAGTAATGCACTTGATAATTTTTATTTAGTTAAATAATGCACTAAAGAATATAGAATAATAACATGCAATAAGTAGACAAAATTCACTTACCTCTCCAAATTTTCCTGCCTTTCTAACTATACGACAAGAGCTATTACAAATTCATCCAAATTAACTTTCCCATGGGAACGTTGCTTGTACTTTGAATGAAATTGACATTTAACAGTTCAGAACATAAAGTTATACAGTATGTCATTTCTATTGGTTATATGTAATATATAATGAAATGTAAGAAAGAATTATCAACAAATTGTGAAAGAGAGGATGTTACAGGTGGGTGTGGCAGGAGGGGTCTGATTTCCTATTTGATAGCTCTGTAACCAAACAAAATTGAAGGCAATAAAAATTATGGTTTGTCTGAGCAATGATGATCTTATAGAGAGTAATTTACGTTTAATTTCATACATTTTGAGGGATGATGGATAAAATAGGGATGATGACATGATAAGACAAAATGTGTCATGTGGGTCACACTAGTGGAAATTCAGGATTTTGTTTAACATTCCCTTGTAGAATTAAGAACTTAAAACTTGCATACTATTAAGATATGGAATATTAGCTAAGATTTTATGCTATTCTAATTGGTTTAACATAAACAAAAAGTAGTATAATAAAATTTTGAATGTAAAACACTAAAACCTTGTGTCATGGACAATAAAGGATACCTGGGGCGATAAGGTTAAAAGACTTCAAATAATATTAATAAGCATTAAGTTCTCTAAAAGTTAACATTTTTCCTATATCAAAAATGTATTTCTGTTAATTCTTACCTCCTCTCATACTATAGCTTTATCTGAATGAAAGTTCCTCTTCTCTGCTCATCTAAGCATTGGTATGAATCTTACCTCGCTTGCTTCAGCCTTTATATCCCACTATATTACCTATAGCAAGTTAAATCTTGTAATTCTCTCCACCTATGTCAGTGAGTCCCCTATACCACATCCATATATAAACTTCCCATTATTACTTCCAAGACTCTTTTTTGGGACAGTCCAAAATAGCAATCCGAAACACCAGCCACAGTGGGGAGGAAGAGCGGCAAAGTGTGAGAGAGGCAAGTATTAATAGAAATACATTTTCAATACAGGAAAACATTAACTTCCAAAACACACTATAGTTAGAACTGTGAAGGTGGAGGGGCCAGTGAGGGCAAGATCCACACAGAAAGCGTCTGTGTAGAAAAGAGGTGCGAAAATGAGATATTGTAGTAGCATACTAGTGGGGTCCACACTACTTCTGGAATAGATACACTCTTCACCTAAACAACGTGAAATATAATACCTGTGCAGTAAAGGTCAATCCTAGCATCGTGAGAAGAAACCATGAATTTAGGGTTATTTATACCAGAAACTGGCCTGCTCTTGCAATACCAGACGCATCCAGTCACAATCAGTCGGCCAGCCAATGTACAGATCCCTCACCCTTAATGAAATATTGTCCATAACTCACAGGAGGCATCCCTGGCAAACAAGGTCCCACATCTCGTCATTCGAATTATAGAGCTGTGGATACAAGGCATAATGGCTAAGGCATGAGGACCACAGTGTGGTAGTATTGGATGCATGTCAAGTCACTGGAATTACAAAGAGAAGGAAGGCAGCACAAAAAATAGACAAACCCTCACCTCAACCTGAAGAAGCTCAAAATGCAACAAACCAAACTCTGGATTATGGGATCTTCCAAGTCTCACTCAAACTGAAGAAACAGATATTACCTGGCCTGGGATTACAAAGAGAAATTCTCAATCCCAAACCTGAGAAGAAAGGCAACACCTCCTGCCCCCAGAATTATGAGAAGGATGTGGAACAAACTATGTCAAACCAATTGCACAGGATGTGATGCTCTGTGTACAGAATTATGAGGAGTCGAGAACTCTCTCTCAAAGAGCCACAACACGATCTTATGTAACACCCTATCTCAACAGAACTCATTGCTACCAGGAAAATTTATCTGTCTATTTGTAGCTAGTGCAGACTCATGATCTAAGACAGGTATAAACAAAAAACAAAAGTATAACAAAAGCTATTCACCACTGAAGAGAAACCTGCAGCCAGCACATAAAATGTAACATTTTGCCCTCGAGAAAATATGAATTGGAAGTAATAACAGGGAGATTATATATGGATCTGAGATAGGGTTGCTTTGATGTAGGTGTACAGAATCACAAAATGTAACTTGCTGTGGGCAATATATTGGGGAATAAAGACTGGAGCAAGCCAGGTAAAATTCATACCAATGCTTAGATGGGCAGATAAAAGGAACTTTTGTTACGATAAAGCTATAGTGTGACCAAATGTGTGTTTCGGAGATACTATTTTATTTAATTTTTGGCAAGACACTACATACAAAAAACAAAACAAAAGCTTATAAAAAAAAGTCCATTAGTAAAATATATGAAATTTACAGTATTTTAACCCTATGTCACCCAGTAACATTTTTAAATCCCTTTCTATCCATGTCATAAAGTGATACTGTGTATTATTCAAAATAAATTAAACCACTTTACTATCAATTTATTTCAATTAAATTATTGTTATCATATCTATATTATAATTCAAAGTCTTATATTATTTAAGTTTTTATTACTTTATTTCAAAAGAAACTGCTAAAACAATAATTAAAACTTCACTTTTGCTCTCATTTGAAGTGCAAGTGGCTACAGCAACTGAACTTTAGATTTGGTTATGCAAGCTAAAAAACGTTTTTCTTGCTGGAAATAAACTACACTATACAGTTCATTTACCAGTAACTTGATACAAATTCATAGAACTGGCCTTGATAGGAAATTGTTATAGATATTCCTGAGTTACAGCTATGCCATGCTCAATTGCAAAGTAGAAGCTGGGTTACTTAGTAACTGTTTGAAGTTGAATGGCATGCTTATAACCAATAAAAAGAAATTTCGTCCTTCAAAGTCATTTGTTTTTACATGAAACATATGGTATAGATCTGCTTTCAATGCCATTAAAATGAGGCTAAATTCATTGTTGAAAGCGATGTCTGTAGTGCTTCGCAATTTTTTTTGCCTTATACATATTAGTTTGATAGACAGTTAGATTGCATTTAGGTTTTACTTTTATATTTTAGTTAATTATGTATTATTTGCGTTTTAAGATTTATATTTGAAAGGTTTAATTATTGTTAAGATTATTCTCTACTTTGAATCACTAAAACAGTTTTGAGACACAAGTGCAAGAAATATTATGACAGAGGGGGTAAACTGTAACATTACCTGTGGGCACTTGTTGATGTGTGTTGATCAAGGATAAAGAACAGAAGAGGAAAGTAAAACATTAAAAATAGATTATAAGTGAAAAGATAAAGATGTGAAATTATGCACATCAATCACAGATGATGTTATTAGAGGAATCAACAAAGAGTTAAAAGGTACGTACATAAAGAATTTTTGTTTAAAAAAGTAGAAAAAATCAAATATTTTTGTGAAACTACATACTGTTAAAAACATTCTTGCCACTTTTCAAACAATTTCACTCACTAGCTTTATTTTTTAATGAAATATGATGAGAGCAATGTTATCTACTAAAAATATTAGTAGCCGGTAATCATAGGTATAAACAAAACCCAAAATATATCATTTTTTATACTTAAGGTTTTCTTTATTGTTTTATCAATATAAAGTAGCACCAGCAACTATAAATTAAAATAACTAAGAAATAAAAAACTCATTATTTAAACTGAAAATCAGCAATCTACAAACATTACAGAGAAAAGTTCAATAAATCATTCTCATACACATTTCAGATACTGAACAATATATACTGACCAAAGTTGTAAATGCTGCATGTTTTAACAAATCATTATCCAACTCCTGGTATGTCACCATTCTGTTCACTGCAACACTGTGAAAAGGATCAGTTTTTATTAAAATAAATTCTGATTTATATCAGTTTTGCCAAAGGAAATTACAAATTTTTTTGGTCTGTATGTGCATAATACTGGAACACAAAGCAATTTAGATTCTAATGTGAAATTAAGTCAATTTTATATTCATTCTTCCAATTATCTTTAAATATTTTTATGATGTAATTGTATTTTGAAAAGTAAAATGTTCTAACATTGTTGTCTATTCTTAACACTGAACAAAGCTAAAGACTATAAAACTTCTTTATAGTTAAAATATTTCTGAAAAATAAACTACGCAGTTCAGCAAAAGATTTATTTCCCAATTAAATGGCAACACACAAATATTTATAATTAATTTCATAATATAATCAGAAAGAATGGTATTAACAAAAGTTCAGCATTTTCAATGTTACTGAAAGGAAAAAATATTATATTATATAAAACACTGATGAAAAGGTGGTTATATAGCATTATACAATATACAACAACCTTCAATATTACAATTTGGAATTACAAAAAGAAGGCAAGCAACACAACCAGAAGTGCAAAATGCAACACACCGAACTCAAAATTACGGGACCTGTTATGTCTCACTCAACCTAAAGAAACAGAGATTACCTGGCCTGGGATTGTGAACTGAAATCATTCTGCCCCAGAATTATGAGGAAGATGTGCACATGGCACAGGAATTGATGCTCCATGGAATTATGAGGAGTCGAGGACCCTCTTCCATGATCATCAAAATGAAAAGAATGAACATAATGAAGGGCCACGCTCAACTCAACTGGATAGCAAAGTCATCTCTGAACTGGAATGATGAGAAGGCACCTGAATAGGCTGGTCCTGCTTCTACCATACATATGGGAAAACCATCCAGGGTTATTGTTAGGAGGGCACCAAGCTTCACCCTCTTGTCCTTGAGTGGAATAATGAGTTCAAGTATGACTCAAAATCTCAAATTACATATATTGAAAAGCTAGAATATAAAATAAGATTTTTGATAAGATATTGCTTTTGTAGTAAATCAAACACAGTAGCACCCTGCTTACCTCTTTCCATTTTTGGAAATGCTCCCTTATATACACTTACTTCTGGTAACATGAATAACCAATTGGAAGCTCAGAATGTCTCCATAGTGGTTTTCTCAGCTTTCCTTACATACCTAATGCCATTCTTTCTTTTGAACCAAGATTTTAATGAGGTAGGTTGTGTCTTTAGTGTGCTTGAAATTTCATTTTTTTTTAGAACCAATTACTGCTTAGTTACTAAGTTTGATAAATTATAGTAGAATTCTATGGTATTGATGTAGTAATTTATGATTTTTTAGTTTTTTCAAAAGTATATATAAAACCTAAAAAATTGTTTTGTTTCATATCCTCCACGTGCAAACATTTTAAAGGCTTAGCAACCTACATCAAGCAGCAACCGAGTACAAAGGTCTTAACTAGAAGAGATAATTGTATTTAACTTCTTTATTTATTTTCGTATCCGATGACGAGGAACCCACTTTGAGACTGGTACCAGATGATGACAAAACCTTGTCGAAACGTTGTACATTTGCTGTTATGTTAAACTTATATTAAAGTTTTTCTTCATTACCCATTCAAGCTGTCTCCAGCCATTCTTTATTTATTGTTCTAAGTTTTAGGAAAAATAACTTTAAGAACTTATTTCAAAATAGCAATAATCTATATACATATATAACAACTGAAATGTGACTGTATTTTACAAAATACTAGTCGACTGAAACACAGCCAAGATAAGTTACTTTGTACAAACCAAAGGACATCTTTATGTTATTTGATACAGTAACATGAGTGCACATGAACCATATCATTGTACCTTCTGTATTGTTAGCTAGGCATGGGTGAAAGGTCAACAAAATAAAAATTATAAATATATTTAAATATATAATGTTATGAGATTTAAGCTATTTCATTCTAGAATGAAAGAGGCATAATTTATGTTTATTTCCTAATTTTTTATGGTGGTTGCATGATCGGTCAAATTTACTGATCCCATACAGAGATTAATTTTTGAAAATAACAGATAAAATATAAAAATTTTTTCTTAAGAAATGTTTGATAACTATCTGGACAGTATAAAGATTTCGCATATGAAATTTGAAAATTTTCAGATACATAAAAGTCTTTTTTATCTTAAAATGAAAATTACTTTGCATGTTGGATAGGCAAGATGTGAAAAGAAAAAAAAGCAAGAGAGAAACATTGCTTTACAAACCTTAAGACAAAAAAATTTGATATTTTCTATATGAAAGCACTGTAATGCTTACTGATAAACTACCAAATTTCGTTAATATTCCCTTACTAATTCAAAAGTTATAGCATGAAAACTATAACAAGCACAAAATGGTTATGAGGTTGGTCCTAGGGACCGAGCTCGGGTTAAAAGAGTTAAGCTATACTCATGATAATCCATAAGTAGCAGTCCAGTAGTGTATTTGTCTGTGTGTTATAATTATTTACCACCTGGAAAGCACACAAAGTGGTGTTATGGAACACCTCATCTCAACAGAGGTCACTACTATCAGAAAAGTTTTTTAATTTTTTTTCTTATTGGTTGACTGATAGCTCGTGCAGATTTGGAAATAATCACATCTGACCAGGGAACACCTGCCACAGAGTGGAATCCAAATGAAAATTATGAGAGGGTTCCTGAAAAAGAACAGAAATGAAGTCACTCATCTTTCTTATAAACTAGCTGGGGCATAGAGAATAGTCAAGGAGGTAGCCATAAACCTGACCGAGGCTGACGTAAGATGGATGGCCAAAGAGGTTGGTACTCCTGAAGATACTGAAGGAGTGGAAACCAAGGCTGACCTGCCCAATATAGAGCCAACAGACAAACTTGACAGGATAAAGAGCGATTCAGTGTAAGAACAGACAAATTGGAGAGAATGCATAAAGATGAAGACCCATTCAATCCTAGCTGAGAGCATCTATGCCCAAAGCCAGAGGGTGAGGGGACAGGAGACCAAAAGGATGGGAGCTGGACATTCCAATTAGTGGCAAAAGCATCGATCTGAGACATTCCAATATGAGAGGAGATCCAACAAAAACTTGTGGATGAAGCATCTATTCTGAGGGAAGAACTCTGTTGGGATGAGATAGCTGATCAGCAAGGAGAACAATCTGATGATTGTGGGACTAAAAGAGAAAATTCACTGCGTGAAAACAAAGACACCTGGAGTGAGTGCCCCCTAGCCTGAAAATGTAGAAGACTACAGTGGAATTGTTCAAGTGAACCATTACCAGCTTTCCTCACAGTGCCACCAGAAGGAAAAAAACGACTCCATGGTAAATGGAGGAGGCTAGAGGAAATGATTGAGATGAGAAAGGTCAATGATAGGTCGCCAATCACCCATCTTCTTTGGTACTACAAACAAACAAATGGGAATAAACACCTTCAAGAGAGGAGTCAACACACTCTACAACCTCTTTGTGCAGAATATCCTGGATGGTTTGCACTTGACAACTGGATGTAAGATGATCCTTTGGTAGGGGAAAAACAACCAGTATAATAGACACCAGAGAAGGAGACATGAAATGAAGGACCAATCCACTCATAAGAACCTGAATGACCCACTAACTGGTGTCAAAGGTCTCCTCTACAGACACAAACTGTCTGAGTCAAGCTCCCATAGGACCATACCCCATAGGGAAGACATCAATGTCATTGTCGGCACTCCACACAAGTGGAGGATGCCCACTGATAAGGGCATAATCTCCTTTGTGTTCCAATAGAACATGGAACCCACACCAGAGATCTGTAAACCAAATAGGAGATGCAGGAAACCATCTAGTACAAGACTGGGAAAGGTGAAAGACCAGTGTCAAAAGAGAAGAGTGGAGATGTGCCACATCCACTCGAGATTCCACGGAATCTGAAATACCTGCAAAAATTGAATGTCTGAGAAAAGGAGCTTCTCTGAGATTTCTAAGAGCAGCTGTAGGAGGAAGTTGAATGCCCTCAAGCAAGGCATCTCTTTCCAAAAGATCTAAGCAACAATCCAACAAAGAGAAAAAGAAGAGAGTAGAAACTGATAACCATAACAGGAGACCTGTGATAGGCCTCAGACAACAAAGAAGATAAAAATGCAAAACTGTTGTAAGGGACAAACAAATCTGGGAAAACTGTTTAAAGTTAAGACAAATGTGGCATCAGGCCTGGAACCACAAATAGGGACAAGAGGATCTAATGTCTGAGAATCTAAATATGAGTCCTCCAAGCAATGGAAAGCTAAGGTATACTGATCCAATAAATTGGGAGGAGAAGGCATGGCAGCACCTTATCTCAATTGATCAGAATCTCCAAGCATGCACAGGAAAAAAACTAATAATCAGCTAAATGACTTTCCCCCAACAAAGAAGAAGAAGAGCCTTAAGCCACAGAATAAATGCTCAAGACATTACAAACTTGATTTACAAGGTGTAAAACTGCTGTACGAAATGGGATGTCCATCCGAGGCTAGTTATTAACCGTCTGAGCAAAGGAAGGAGCCAGAAAATTCCCACCAGTCTGCCCCTGATCCCCCACAAGCTCAGCCTCCGAGTTCAGAGGAGAAGAAACATCAGACCTCATGCAAAACTCCACCTCTCTGCGTATGAGGGACTGTAGGTCTCCCCCGATGCTCTGGCAACACTAGTCTCTAGAGGTGGCAGATTAGGAGCACTGGGAAACTTTGTGTCAGAGACGTGAATTTGAGAATTCATATCCGAAACATCTCAGAAATTTTTTATTGTCGAAAATAAACTCAAAACTCACTAAGATGGGTTGAAAACAAATTCTCCAAAGCATAGATATAACTAAAATTATATAACATGTAAAAGAAACAGCAAGCACATAAAATTGTTGTTGTAATGTTCTGCTTTCGAGAAAAGTGAATAGGAAGTAATAATGGGGAGCTTATATATGGATCTGGTATCGGGGCGCATTGATTTAGATGCTTTTTTATATATTATTAGCAATATTTTAGTATGACAGATGAGATCAATACATTTCCAATCCAAAATGTGTTGATTAATTGTAACTAGCATGTTATGAAGTTATGAAGAATCAAGACAAATGATACAATTAGAAATATGTTATTGTAACATAGTAGGTTGTATGATGTCAATGCACTTACTCAAAAAAGCAAACAAAAGTAAAGAGGCACACCGTAGTTTGGTTAAATATGCTATTAACCAGAGAGTTCTTACTGGAACTCTATCTTTCAACCTGTATATAAGATGAGGGGTAAAATTAGGCACTGTATTAAAGAGTAAAAAGTATTGTCTTATACATCTGCAAATACAGTATTCACTTCACAAAGAAAAATAAAACACAAAAAATGGAAAAAAAGTAAGAGAACTGTATGTAGAAAATGAAATACATAAAATAATCAACACTAACACTAAATCATTCCTGATTGTAATTGGCTTAGTGCTACTACAGAAATGTTTTTTTGTGGATAGCTTCTATTCAATTCAGAAACAGAGAGAAATATAACAGTCTAATTACTTGTAAACCAAAATAGTCAAAGCTCAGATTCTCTCTCTCTGAATTTATATTTCCTCTTGCTGCAATTATACCAGTTGAGAAGTATTAACCACATTCTAATTTCAAATAGACTAAACAATTGCTAAATGGGAAAATCTTGGGAATGGGTTATTGATAAAGCAGATGTCTCAGACTATCTGGGTATGTAGAGAAAGTACTGCCTGATGACTGTCATCTAAACATAAGTTAATAGAGCTGATTACTGTGTCTCTCCCTAATGGTGCAAGTGAAAGCTATATCTTCTAGCAATAGTACCAACTCAAAATTAGAGAAATATATTCAGAGAGAGAAAAACTCTATTCATAATGTCAAAACCAAGATAATTTCAGAAATATTTTAAAAGTTTGTGATATCCATAGTTATACAAAATTAGTTTAATAAATGAGATGGAGTCGGCTTTTACACAGAACAAAACAATACATACAAAAACATGAACAAAAAAAAATAGTTTTCTCTGTATAAATGAGTTGCAAAACAAACTGACCTTTTGAATCAACTTGTATTGAAAGTTCTAAATAATACTGGGCCAAAAACTAAATCAAAAATCATAATACTGTACAACAACAATAAACAAGTATCAAACCTTCAAAATAATACAGTCCTCTTGGAGAAATTAATCTCTTGTGCACTTTGAAAGATAATAAGTAATGAGTAAATAACTCCTTTCTTCCTACTTGCCTTTTATTAATTATACATTAGAAATATGGTTATGGTCACATGTTATACATAATATAGTAAATAAATATCAAGAAATTCACTAGTTAAGTATTCTATGTCATTAAACTAAACAATTTAAGTTTATGAATGTTTAAGGTATTTCGGGGATTAAATTTAGATAAAATATGAGAATTTGTCTTTTAGAAAAAAAATAACCTTAGATACAAAAATGTACTGAAAATCTTGAAAGTAATTTTTGTCTGAAGCTCTTATATAATGTTTAACATACGAATTCCCCAGTCTTAAGTGTTATGATCTTTGCTTCAGACAAGATTAGATGATTGAAAATAGTATCAGCATAAATGTATATATATCTTTTTTTTTGTTGGACAGTGTGTAACACTGTGTAAGAGAATTATAATGAAATTTTAATGTGTTATATACTTTAATTATAAAAATATTCAATTTCAACAGCAGGTCAAATGGTAAGTATGAAGCTCACATACATAAAAATGAAAATATCTCTGAAATACAAATTAAAAATATAGGTCTTGAAATAAAGTCAGGCCTTATTAACTGTATTCATTAAACCATTTCAATATCTCTGTTTATTTCATAATACAGATTTTTTTTTCTTTATGATTTATCACTGATTCTTACTTTTTACATAAGAACCTGTTTTTTGTTTTTTTAATATAATAACATTTTCCTACAGAATAAGCCTTTTTTACCTTGGTGCCTGAGCAACTTCTGAAGTAAAATCTTCTTCTCTAACATCATCAAGATCAGGAATTGTGGGTAACTCTGAGGAAAACAAATAAAAGCAGGAATAAAAATATGTGCCTCAACAAATTATATAAAGAAGGATCTAATCAATCAAACAAACTGTTATTCAAATTTTATGATTTACCTATGAACTGAAAATAATGAAACACTAGTATATTCATTTTCACATAATCTTCGACTTAACTTACCAAAAACTTACTAATGGTTCTAATAATTAAAATGCTCTTGCATATGGCTCAGTTCCAGAACAACAAATGCTAAATGTTAATTTTTGTACAAAGCTATACAAGGGCTATCAATGCATAACCATTCCTAATTTTGAAATGATAGACTAGAGGGAAGGCAGCAGTTAATCAATAGCATTCATCAACAATCTTTTTAATTATTTTTTTAGGGGGGGGGGCTACTCTTGTCTCACCAAATAGTGGGATTGAATCTTCACTCTTATAGTTTATCAATCTGATAAAACTGCAACAAATGCTTCCTTAAACTAAGTAATATAAGATGACAATCCCAAGGGTTGACCCCTCATGTAAAAACCTACTGCCTCACAGGAAATAAAAAACTGTTCTTTATGAATGTATCCAGTAGCCTTCTGGCTGTAAACTATCCTATTTATTCCTCATCTTTTGCTTTTCCTAGCTACATGATAAGGCAATTTATTTCCCAGTTTAATTGTCTCTGAACAAAGGCTTCCTTGAAGTACCAAGGATACAGTTTACACTAAAATAAAGAGGACACACAAGGCCAAAGTAATACAACCATTACAGACCACTTGGTTGCCTCCAGTAATGGTTGTGAAAGAGGATGAGGGAATATTACAAATTTTGTGTTTCAGGGAAACGAATGAGGTAACATTGGCTGACATATTAAATAAATCTTACTTTTATGAACAGCTATTTGGACATCATCACTGTTTCTTAGGATAAATATAATTGATTAATTTTAATCACTCTTTACCATCACAACGCATTCACACCAAAACAATTGTTACATTAATAAATTCCTTATATAAATAGTATTCCAACCACTACTGGGTTTGTTGTATCCCAGCTGGCTTGGTGAGAAATGCTATTGAGTGAAAGTCAGTGGCAATGGACATGGATTATAAGGTGATTAAAATTCTGTATACACTCTTGTTCTTACAAAAGCTTCAAGGGACCAAATGAAGAATGTAGTGTGTAAAAATACAATAAGCTTCATACTAGTTTCTTATAACAAATATAATTGAGATTCTGTAAATCAATTTTTTCAAGTTGATTAAACAAATACTAGTACATGACAGACCATAATGTCTGCACTTTCAAAAACCTAGTTTAAAAACTACAAAAACTAAAGGAATTTTTTCTCTGTTGTGTGATAGAGGTACCAAAATAACTCAAGTTTTTACACAGTACAGTATACTATAAATTCAATTATCATCCCAGTACAAAATATAAAAACATTTTATATTAATATAGGGTATTTGTCTCAAATCCTGGCACAGTTGTTTTTTGTCTTTTTTACTATTTAGATTTAAAACAGTTTCACTGCTGTTTTGTGTACTAATCACTACCTTCTCAAATTAGATAATTAGGACTAACTAACCTTGCTTAAAATTCTTTTTTATGAACATTATTTATATAAATTATATGTTATCCTACTAATAACAAAATTACTGATGTGCAAGTGAAAAAGAGTACTGTTCCACCTGAATCTGAATCTTCTTTGTCTAAAACTGTTTCTTGTTTAGGTGACTTTGCCATTTCTCTGCAAAAAAAAAATTAAGAATTTAATGTAAAATTTAATGTTTGCTTTACAATTTACAATATAAACAAACACATAATACACAAATCATTACATTCATATACATTATTCAGTTCTTAATAACCACACACATATTCAAATGTGCAAGTAAAATTTAATTTCTTTCTACTGAGAAAAATAATTTTGAATAATATCAAATTTTGATAAACAATTAATCACATTATATACCATTTGAAAAAGCCTGGTGGTACATACTTTGGACATTTGCCCACATATCTTACTATAATGGAGCAATGGTGCGGCCATATATATTTGTGACCATACTAATAAATACAATGATGCCATCTATTATGTTGAAATACAACAAGATCTCAATACCAGAAGTGGTGTTTGAGGCTTATAAAATGTGGCTCTATCTACTGAATGGCACCATAAACAAAAATTCATAAAATATTTCACATTATGGGTATTCCAAGATTCAGACAATTAGAAAAATAACTAAGGTATGTACAACAATAATTCCTTTATAATAGAACACAATTTTAAATAAAAGTACTCTCATCACAACAAGAACACAACTTTCAATGGGACTGTATTGAGAGTTTGACTACATCTTTATTGATGTAATTTATAAATGTAGTATTAAGACACTGGAGTTCTTAAAAAATAACTTTTTCTTTTCAATAAAGAGTAGATCTTTTAATATATAAAACATTACAGTTTATATCAGTAAAATTTATGAAAATTTTGAGCTCTGTACATTGAATCATTTTGATGCCACGATTTGCATATGAATAAAGAGCACAATCCGAACAGTTTCCTATGCTGCACTTCCCAGAAACAAATACACTTTTTAGAAAATGCTCAATTTTTTACAAAGAAGTATGAATATTACAATTACTAACTACTAGCACAAACAGCCCCCCATAGGGTGGCATTTCTGCTAGATATATAAACTACAAAAAAAACAAAACAACATTACCGGGGTAAAACTTTACAGTAAAATCATACTTCAGCCAAATGAGCAATGGAGTTTTAATTAAAAGCTTTCGAATATTTTACAAAGAATAGTTTATGTCATTCTTAAAAATACAGGTTAAATATATAAATATAATCTGATGGTGAACTCCCCAATCTATATGAAAGCTTGTTAGAAAAATATTAAAGATGGCAAAACCCATTTCAAATGTTAAATTTTTTTTTTTCAACCACATAGAATTTTCAACTTGAATGACACCTTACATGAAATAGAATAAATGGCCAAGCTTAGAAACCCCTTACTGTCCAGATGGAGGGCAAACTGTCAGTAGCCTACTGCCTGGCTATTTCAGCTAAATAATGGTAAGTATGGAGCATTATGGAAGGATCCCTATTCAAATCTTGGATATATATACACCTGGAAAAAAGTTAAGCACCCCCATATATTTTTCAGGATTGCTTATTGAAAATAAGGTTTAATTTT